CCAAAATGCCTGGAACCACGGGTCAACAATGGGGCAGGGTGCACACGCGACACGCAGCAGCAGAACGTAGGCAACACAAAGAGCGAGAACAAAATGATGACCCATGGTCCTGGAGCCAAAGGTTGGATGCCTCAGGGGTGAAAGACGCATCTGCAGCAGTTGAGCGGGTGTGCTTATCATGCCCCCCCCCCAACCCCCCCCCCCGGAACCATGTTATTTTGTAATCCGGTAACAGAGCAGGCTAGTCTGCAGCAGTTGAGCGTTGAGCGGGTGTGCTTATCATACCCCCCCACCCACCCCCCTCGCCCCTGCCCCCGAACCATGATGCATGAACGCAGGGATGAACGTCCAAAAAACAAAGAACTCCACGGGGTCGTGAAGGACGCCGTGAGCAACAACAACAACATGAACAACAACATGAACAACAGCATGAACAACAACAACAACCAACAACCAACAACCCACAACCAACAACCAACAACCAAGAACCAAGAACCAACAACAACAACAACAACAACAACAACAACAACAACAACAACAACAACAACCGCAACAACAACAACAACAACAACAACAACAACAACAACAACAACAACAACAACAACAACAACAACACCAACACCAACAACAACAACAACAACAACAACAACAACAACAACAACAACAACAACAACAACAACAACAACAACAACAACAACAACAACAACAACAACAACAACAACAACAACAATAACAATAACAATAACAATAACAACAACAACAGCAACAACAACAACAGCAACAACAACAACAACAACATGAACAACAACATGAACAACAGCAACAACAACAACAACCAACAACCAACAACCAACAACCAACAACCAACAACCAAGAGCCAACAACAACAACAACAAGAAAAACAAACAACAGCAACAACGACAACAACAACAACAACACCGACAACAACAACAACAACAACAACAACAACAACAACAACAACAACAACAACAACAACAACAACACCGAGGACACGAACAATGCAAGACGTTGCCCCACATAAGCGGCTCTGCGCGCGCGGGCCGCCTGCAACAGAGGTGGACTTTGACATGTTTACGTCTTCAGTTGGTTTTCAGATGTCAAACTTTTGAGCTTCTATCAGTTTACGACTGTAAGACTATGAAGTCTTAAGATCTTAAGATGTCAACATGATCAGATTGAAATGTTTTCGGATGTTAAGATTTGCAAAGATCAAGATTTCAAGTCTTGAAGCTTTTCGCGGTTCTATCATTTCAAGATTCTAGGACTTGAACGTTGCAACAACAACAAGACCGGCAACAACAACCGCAAAGAACACCAGTGAACCGACGCACGCGCACACGCGCGCGCATGCGATCGTTTTCACGTTTTTGCAGTGAAAACTTTGTGTTTTTTCAGTGTTTCAAGGCTGCGGCAAGACGCCCGTGGAAGGCAGCTCCCAGCATCACCCGCATCACCAGGGCAAGCCCGCAGACTCAGAAGCCCAACGCTGCAGACCCAGAACCAGACCCAAAACTTTTCACAGACCGAGCCGCATCCTCCGCATTGCCTGTTCGGCGGCATCGGGCGGCAGCTGGTGCCTGCTCCAAAGGACGAGGACCCCACTTATGTCACTGCCAGTCCATTGTTTTCAGATTTTAAGATCCTGGAGATGTTAAGATTTTAAGATATTGAGGATTTTAAGATTTGAAGAGTTTTAAGATGTCAAGCCAGGCAATTTTCAGCCCGCCCACCCACTTGTGTCACTGCCAGTCCATGATTTTAAGGCTTTAAGATTTCAAGCCAGGCCATTTTCAATCCATTTTCCATCCATTTTAAGATTTTAGAACTTGTCAGATTTTCAGATTTGTTTGGAAGTTACGATTTTGAAAACTTACGATTTCAATATTTCAGTGTTGTAAGAATTTCAGGGTTTTAAGATATTCAGGTTCTAAGACCTTAGGATTTTTTAGTTTGTAATGTTCTACGATTTTACGATTTTGAGACTTGACAATTTGAGGAAAATATGCTTTCAAGAGTTTAAGGTTTTACGGGTTTTTCCAGCTATTTTCCGCTTATGTTCCATTAATTTTCCATCCATGTTCCATCCGTTTTCCACCCACCTTCCATCCGTGTTCCATGAATTGTCCATTAGTTGTTTCATCCATGCCTCCATCAATTTTCCAACAAGTTTCCATGACAGTTCCACACATTTGCATCAATTGTTGCATCCTTTTGCCCATTCATTCCATCTATGAATTTTCCAGGAACATTCCATCAACTGTGCATACATTTTCCATCCATCCCTGTTCCCTCCATATCAATGCCCCCTTCATTTGCCATTTCCATAAATTTTGCATCCTCTTTGTCCATCATTCCATCCATTTTTCCATGAACTGTGCATCCACTTTCCCTACATTTTCCATCAATTTTCTCCCCCTTTGTCCATCCACATAATTTCCCTTCATTCCCTCACCGGCGTGGACAACATCCCCAGCATCCCCCGCATCACCGGCATTCGCAGCAATGTCCGCCATGGATGCGGATGATGCAGGTGATGCCGGATGTTGTCCACTCTGGGAACCCCCGAAAAAAAAAGCCGCTCGTTTTTGGACTCCGCGGCGATGTGCTCAAAACATCGTCCGAACGAATCCGCAAATCCTTCGCCCCTTAGCAGGCTGCGCTGCACATTTCTCGCTGTCCCTGGTGATGGCTTGGCTTTGAGGGGGATGTGTTTGGGGATGTCGAAGGTGTGTTTGGCGATGTTTTGGCTGTCCTGGGGGTTTTTGTTGAGGGTGTCCTGGGGGGATGCCTGTGACAAAGTGAATGGATGTGAATGGGTGTGTGTGTGCTTGACAGTGTTTTTGCGTTCTTGTTCTTCTTTGTATTAGTTGAGACATTTTTGAGATAAGTAATTAAACTTCTCGCTCTCCTTATTCCTGGACTTCATGTTGCAGGGGGCCGCTTCTTTGTGTTCAGCGCCCTTGGACCTGAGCGATTTTGTTGGGGGATGACTTCGGGGGTTTCTTCAGAGTTTCACGTCGCGGCCGTGGGACCTGCACGTTCACCTTGGGGGTGGAACAGACCTCAGGTTTGCGGCCGAGAGGAACCTCCTGCAAGAGTTGTTGCTGTTTTCCGTGCGGTTGTGTTGGTTGCCTTGGAATTGCGGTTTAGAGATTTAACTTAACTATGTGTTTGGTGCTTGCTCAAACCCATTCTGCGCTTGCCCAGCGCCAGGCTCGCGCCACACTCACAGATTGTTTGTCGCCGTCCTGTTGGCGGTCGCCGCTGCCGCTGTCCTTGTGAAAGTTGTGGTTGCCAGTCGCCCATCGCGCTGGTGCTGGACCGCAAGAGCCTTGACGAGGGGCAGATCATGGGGCGCGGGGCCCAAGAAGCCGTCCTCCCGACCCAATGAAACCTGAGACGCGTAGGGACGGGTCCAACAAAACGGGGGTTTTGTTCTTAAACTAATGCTGCGTTCTTCCTTTGCCTAAAATCGGCCTGGCCTTCCAAAGGCAAAACTGCAGCTAAGGCAAAACTGCAGCTGGGCGAAAAGCGCCAACCTTGGCCACAGGAGTTGGTTGAGCTGACTCCCTTGACTGCGCTTAGGTTTGTCTCATTTCGCTTCGGTGTAACGCGCTCGAAGCGATATGGTTCATTTCCTTTCGGTTCGAATAAATTCATATTGTCCAGAATTGAAACTGTTTCGCTGCGAAGCGGTACGACTCACTGCCAGTATTGCTCCTTGTTGCGATGAGGTTCGATGTCTCTCGCGCAGGCAAGCACGCCCAGGAAGAATTGAACCTGCAACCTCTAATGCGCAGAGGTGCCACTACACCAGGTTCTCCTTGGGATGGTGGTCAGATTATCATGTTCAAATGAAGACAGACCGCAAACAAATACAACACGACGGAAGACTGCCCGAAACACTCGAAGGAAGAAGGAGAAAGAAATGAAGAGGAGTACCGATTTGCCTCGGTTTGCCAGAAACTCTTGTTCGGTTCGGCGCGATACGATTCCGCCGCTGTCAGTTCGATACGGTACGGTAACGGTTCGATACGGTCCTCGGTCGTCACATTCAGGGACCCCCGCTTTGGATAGCTTCGAAGGAAAGTCAGCCAGCGAAACACGCGCAAAACCATGTGGCAGGGATTCCCAGCGCATTCGAGAGCATCTGAACTGGCAAGCAGCCCCACAGATCAGCCGCATAGGTGATCTAGAAAATGCTGCGCAATACAAGGCTTCCCTCCAACATGGGACGCTGCCCCTATCAAAATCAAACATGGCTTTTTGACTGAGCTCCGGGGTACGGAGTGAACTCGCGATGGAGATTGCACACTCGGTCTCGATTGTTCGGTGAAAAGGCTCAGAAGCAAACGCCCTTCAAGCATTCCGTTTTGTTCATTCAGGTTTCTTGAAGTATTTGTGGGTTTGAAGATCTGATTGGGAGAGATCCTGTTCGGAGGGGACTGATGTTTATTTCTTTTCCAGTCTCAGCTGGGGCTTAACGCCGGGTCAGGCGGCTGGTTGGTTGGTGGGTTGGTTGGTTGGTTGGTTGGTTGGTTGGTTGGTTGGTTGGTTGGTTGGTTGGTTGGCTGGCTGGCTGGTTGGTTGGTTGTTTCGGTTGCTGATGGAGCCCACGGGGCTGCATAAGTCTCAAATCACGCACTCCCTCAAAAAAGGAAGAACGACGCAGCGCAACAGGACAGCATTTAAAAGCACATTTCAAGCCGAAAGCCAAACTGGCAACAAATCAAGCTTAAGTGGCAGCGCTACAAGGCCTGCGTGCCCCAGTTGGCCCCAAACTGGGACCCTATATTTAGCAAGTGCCAGCATCACACTGGGAATTTCAGGGAAAGCCGCTTCGCAGCGAAGAAGATTCAGAGACCTGTGAATTTGGAGGTTGCCCAACCAGTCTCGCGAGTCAACCACTTCGGATCGATGGTTTTTCGGCCGACAGGGTGCTGCAAGAGGGGGACGTGGCGGGTGCAACCTTGCTGGAGGCTGGGCAACTGCCAGCTTTCCAGCCGAGTTAAAAACCCAAACGCTGGCAGAAAACCTGAGTTGGCTGAGTAGGCGCAACTCTAGTTGCTTCCAGAAACAGCGCCGGAGCCTTGAAACAGCCCGGAGTCATGAAAGCCACCGGAGCCGTGCAAGTCTAGTTTCCCTAGAATCGGAACCGAGCAACGGGGGCAACGAGCCTTCAGATAGTTTCACTCAGGTTTGCAAGCCATCGCAGCCACAACTCTGGGGGGCTCCTCCCGGCTTGATTGAAATAAGCCGGCGTAACTCGGAACCTCCAACAGAACGAAAGCACAGCACCACCACCGATCTTCTCGAGGTATCGCGCAACGAATGTTTTTCATGATGCTCAGTATCTTCTACAACGAGCAGACAACCTTCTGTGAGGCGGCAAGCTGTGCCAGGGTAAAGCCTCTGCGCAGGCTAGGCACAAACACAACGTCCGCCGGCTATGAACAAGCGCAAGCCTATCACGGTCCTTAGGACAAACCCCAAATAGTTTGGGCACCTTGCGTGCCTTGAGACAGGAACATGACGGTCGGCCCGTTGGCAGCTTAGAGGGTTTACGTTGCTTAAATACCGGTGAACAGTCAGTCCTGGGAAGCTGTATGAAGCTTTGTCAGTCCTGGAAAGCTGTATGCACAAGCAACTGAGCAAATGGATGAAAGCCCTTCATACGCCCTCATTCCTTCCAACCATCCCGGTTTTCAAAAAAACGGTTTCAAAAATGGGAATGGGTCTCTGAAAAAAGGAAAGGTGAACAACAGTTGGCGTCAGGTCAACCTTAGGCGGTACTCGGCGGTCGTCGGGTGGTCTTGGACAGGACGTGGGCTAAAGACGCAAACTCTTGGCAAATTTGAGATGGGCCCGGACTGGGCTGCGGGTTAAAAACTACTAGCAGCCCTTGAGAGTTGTTGGCATCTGCATTCGCAAGGAGCCATCGAAGGAGTTGCGTTGTGGACGAAACAGTCACCGGCTGGTGGCCTTGCTTGCCTTGAAGAAGCGGCTGCTTGGTGCTGGTGACCTTGCCACCCAGTCCATGTCAGACAAGGAGGGCCGCACACCCTCCTGGCATGGAGCATGCAGATCCTGGCGCCAACGCAGCACCCTCTCAACAGCGCCCATGCCGCGGCTGGCCATGTCATGGAACCACCACATGTTTGTCCTTTGGCGAGACAATCCTTGCCGAATGCAGCAGCCCTCTGCCAGCAGTACTTCAGCTTTCAGCGCCGTCAACAGGAGCCTATGAACTCGTTCTTGGTCAGAAAAGCGCTGGGGATCTGTTGGAGTCCAGCCAAGCGATAGCGGACAGCTTTGTCCTGGGCGCCCTTCGAGGTTGTCGCCTTCTACCAAAAACAGAGCTGCATTTTTGGCACTGCCAGGGGCAGTCTCTCTCTCTCTTGAAGGAAAGAGAGACATCCACCAGGGTTCGATGTGATCACCCGCTAAGCAGTTCAAGAGCAGTTCACTGGTCAACATCTTCAGCTTGCTGCCTGGCATCAAGATGCGCAACATGCCGAACAAAGTGCTGAGCCCTTCGCAGCTGAGTTTCGCTTGCGGTTGTCCCGACCGCCGTCGCCCGGATCTCGAGGCTACACCCAGAGCTACTCCAAGGGCAAGCCCAAGCACGGTTTCTTTGCACTTATGATGGGTGGCCACATCGATGATTTTCACTGCATTGCGGAACCGTCAAAAAGCATCCCTGCCGGCATGCAGGCACCGATGTGGCGACTATGAGCGCCGATGACGGCGTGAGGTGCTCTAAAGAACCCAGCAAATGACCAGCAAGGTCAGGTGCGAGTCCTACAACCTCGAGCTCCAAAGGTGCCTTGATCGCCTTGATCAGCAGCCCAACAATTTAACCGCCGTTGGCGTGTTCCGCCGGCTCCCGCGGCTTCAGGCTGTCCGGGAGTAAAGGACAATAGAATAAAGCATGAGCGCTACAGCCGTGTCTGGTAGCATCAGTTGCACAGTCACGCAATAGGGTAGGATCCATGACTGCAGAGGACAGAAAGCGAAAAGTGGTCCCATCCAAGCACGGGCTCAGCTTTAGAGCCAGCCTTAGAAGTTCCTTAGACAGATGACCGTACCAAAGTGCAGCTTTAGCCACGCTCGAACCCCCTCCCCCCCCTCCCCCCCCCCACGCCCCGCCGAAGCGTAGACAAGCGAAGCGCAAGCGCAGCATAAGCAAACACGCGCGATGTCACTTACTTCCGTGCGCTTGTGCTTAAGCACGCGTGATCTCGCTTACTTGCTTGCGCTTGTGCTTGTGCTTAAGGTTGTGTTGGGTGTTGGGTGTTGTGCCTGGTTCTGCCGCCCCCACACACCTCAGAATTTCGGCCCGGGACGAGAGAAAGCACACGTGCACAGACCCACGAAGACAGACGCAGATACGTAGACAGACACAGACAGACACAAAGACACGCAGACAGACACACAGGGGCAGGGGGGGGGTCTTCAGACAGGGGGGGGGCGGAGGGGTGAAGACTACCCGAAGCCTAGGGAAGAAGCCCGACAGCACAGGACACACGATTGAGTCCTAACGCGCGTCGTTTGGTCCCGAAACACTATTGGAAGACTAGGAGAAGAGGCCGGAAGATTACGGAAGACTATGGGAAGAAGCCGAAAGACTATGGAAGAGTCGAGCGTGTTGCTCCACGCCTGATGATTTGAACGTGGATGAAAACAGAATTACTTCCAGGGGTGCAGTTGAGGTCTTGTCTGAGTTGCGCAGCTTCGTCACAAACTTGAAGTTGAACAACAATGCCATAGACCAAGCGCAGTTTGTGCGGGAAGAGGCGCGCAAGTTTTGCATTTTTTGTGAAGCAGGCCCTGATTGGACCAATGAGGTCGGCCGCCAGGGAAGAAGCCCGAAAGCGCAGGACACGCGATTGAGTCCTAACGCGCGTTGCTTGGTCCCGAAACACTATCGGAAGACTAGAGGCCGGAAGATTACGGAAGACTACGGGAAGAAGCCGAAAGACTATGGAAGATTACGGGAAGAAGCCGGAAAGATTACGGAAGACTACGGGAAGAAGCCGGAAAACGACGGAAGATTAGAAGCCGGAAGACTAAAGACTACGGAAGACTACGGCAAGAAGCCGGAAGACTACGGAAGATTACGGGAAGAAGCCGGAAGACTACCGGAAGAAGCCGGAAGAAGCCGGAAGACCACGCGAAGGGGGGGGGGGGGCGGGAGGGAAAGGGAGGGAGGGAGGAGGAGGGAGGGAGGGAGGGGGGGGGGGGGAGGGGGGGGGGGGGGGAGGGGGGGGGGGGAGAGGGGGGGAAGGGGGGGGGGGGAGGGGGGGGGGGGAAAAATACATAAAATGGCACTTCTAACATCAAACCCAAATAATCAAACAGCATACAACAAAATCAGCAAAATTCACAGAAAACAAGATAAGAACCACCAAGCAACTCAAAAACCAGAACAACCCCCAACAAAATATTTAATCAAAGCATAAAACATTAAATAATTCAAACAAGCATACCAACAAAACAGCAAAAATAAAAACCATCAAAGAACACAATCTCAAAAACACACAAAATCAAAAACAAAGCAACATACCATCAAAAAATATCAGAAGAGTATCAAACAAAATAAAATACAAACAGCCAAAGCACGAAAAAATCAAAAGAGCATACCAAGTTCAAACAACGCACTTTGAAAGAGTCAGCCAAATCAAGAAAAAATAAAATATTTCAATCTTTACAAACTATAAGTACAGTATAATTATAACATATAGAATTTTACATGTTATTATTATAGTATGATTATAATTTCAGTACAGGATAATAATTTAATTGACAAATCTTTCTTCTTTCATACATCATTTTAAAAATAATATTAATATCTCTCAATGTATTTTGAATATTAAACTTTTTACTTTCAATAAATAATTTGATATTTTCTTTAACATCTTCTCCTTTATCTTGACTATAACACAACAACCATAATATATCATCCATCATTTCATATTTTTCTTACTAATTTTAAGAAACTGTTTAACATAATCATAAGGTGGTATTTTATTTACAGTTAGAAATATTAAAATATCATCTTCTACATTTCTATGTCGAATTCTTTTTATTCCCAACAGACATCTGATTAATTCTTGATAATATCTCCAATTTCTACAAATTTTACATAAATCTTCTTCATCCATTGAATAATTAATAATATTATTCACTATTTCATTAGGTAAATTTAATTTATACAATTCCATATTTTCTTTTTTGAAGTGACAACAATCATAGCATTTTTTATTGATATAATTATTGATTTTATCACCGTTCATTTTCCTCTTATTATATTAAGGTTTTAAATCTTTAAGTATATTTTCTAAAAAGTCACTTAAAGAAATAAACACATTAAATTTATATAGTATAGTATTATGAAACATGTTATAGATTATCTGTTGAATAATGATAAAGCGGAAATTCCAAAAAGAGGAAACAAGGAATTAAAATCAATAATTATAGATGGTAGAAAATTTAGATACAACAAAGAAAAACCCATCTCAAATGTTTTGAACAAGAAATTAAAATCAGAAGCAAGAACTAATGAGTATAATAGTTATGCAACAAAAACATTGCGCTCAACATACCTAAAACAAAGAATGAAAAATGCAATGACAAAATATGCAATCAAAAATAAATTCCAAGTAACAGACCAACAATCAGCTTTCAAAAGTTATGCTAATTCTATAAAACTAGTAAATAAACATTTTCAAGGTGAAAAGGCACTATCAATGATACACCACCAAAAAGATAGACTTTTGACCTTTTTGAAAACTAATAGAGCAATGAAACTGAATATAAGGGCAGAAGGTTTATTTTATCATTATTATGATGATGATGGAGTAATAAAACATACAGAGATACTTTATAATTTACCTGCTACAAGGTCAAACATATATAATGAAACCGATTTGGATGAAGCAATTGAAAAATCAATCAAAGAGATTTTATTGAACATAGA